TTTCAATCAGATGGAAAGACTATGTCCAGGCGACCAAGGTCACAGGGAAGGACCCGCGTTGTACAGCTTCTTGAATGCTGTGACGAGACACTCGCAGAGATCTCACACGTTAGGCTGGCGGATCCCTCACAGAAAAATCCGAGGAAGATGTCCTGAAGGCCATTAGACTCCTTGCTGTCAGAGAGGAGAACACCATGGTAGCTCGCGTTACCCTCCACAGCATGACTCAGGATCGAGATGAAACTGTTAAGCTCCTTGATTGCCAGGCTAAGAGGTCAGGCTGGCGTCTGCAAATTCACCATTGCATGTCCAGGGTGCCATCAGGAGGTGAACTACACAGAGACAATCCTCTGTGACGTACTCACCCGTGGACTAAATGACCCTGAAATCCAGTTAGATCTCCTTGGAGACAAGAACCAAGACATGAATCTCGAACAGGTGTTTCAATTTGTGGAAGCCAAGGAATCAGGCAAGCGGCTTCGGCATCTCGACTTCTGGACTCCCAGTCTGTGGAAGCTGTTAGCAGTGGCTACCGAAGAAACAAGAACACAGCTGTTAATTCATCCAAGAATCTGGATGCGTCCGAGTCATGCTTCTACTGTGGAAGAAAGGGGCATGGAAAAAGTGCATCCCTGAAAATCAGGAAAAACACTGTCCTGCCTTAGGTCGCATGTGTTCATCCTGTAACCGCTACAATCACTTTGACACAGTGTGCCAGAGCAAAGTGAAACTGAGAGCTGAGAAGCCCCCACGGACGGTTGAGGAAAATGAAGGTGCGGTCTTTGACATGCTCTGCTCACTCACTGACATCAGCTGGCGCAAGGAAAGAAGACTCTTCACCTTGATCACCACCTATATGATCAGCTGGCGGACACATGGACTAAACAAGCCTCCGGCCCCAGCCCTTCCTCAACCTATCGATGGCTGTCCATGCAGAAGACTATGACAGACTAGGCTTTGGCTCAATGTTATCCTCAAGACCAAGAAGAGCCTCTGTTGTCGTCATGGCAGACACAGGTTGTCAGAGCTGCCTTGCTGGCATTAAGATCGCACACAAACTTGGACTGAAAACACAGAATCTCATTCGGTGACTCTCAAGATCGCGTGCTGCCAATAACAGGGGTATCAATATCCTTGGTGCCCTCATCACACGGCTGTATGGCAGGAGCCCAACAGGGAAAACAATTGAAACAAGACAGGTGGTCTATATCACAGACAACTCTGACAAGTTCTTCCTCAGTCATGAGGCTTGTATCTCACTGGGGATGATCACAGGAAATTTTCCCACAATGGGGAAGTGCCCAGAAATGACAGCTTCAATGATGATTCTACACTAAGCGATGCTTCAGAGATAAATGATGTGAAATGTGACTGCCCAAAGCGTGGACCACCTCCTAAATTGCCAACCAAACTACCTTTCCCACAACAGAAGAGAACCGCGGTAAACTGGAAGAATACCTACTTGACCTCTATAAGTCCAGCACATTCAACATCTGCGAGCACCAACCTCTCCCCTCATGGATGGACCTCCCATGAAACTGATGGTCGATCTGGGCGCGCCAGCCTGTTGCTCACCACACTCCTGTCCCTGTCCCACTTCACTGGCAGAAAGAGCGTCAAAGCGGACTAGACCAGGATGTCAGACTAGGTGTGCTGGAGCCAGTGCCAATTGGAGAACCGGTTACATGGTGCCACAGAATGGTCGTCTGTCCAAGAAGAATGGCAAGCAGCATGACGCACTGTTGACTTTCAGGCTCTCAATGCCCATGCCATTAGAGACACATCACACAATCCCCTTCCACCAAGCCAGATCAGTGCCACAGAATAAGAAGAAATCTGTCTTCGATGCATGGAATGGCTACCACAGTGTCCCCATTCGAGATGAGGACAAACACCTTACCACATTTATCACCCCATGGGGCCGATATAGATATCGCACTGCTCCACAAGGATATATAAAGCCTCGGAGATGGATACACAAGGCGGCTTTGGCGAGATTGTGTCTGATGTGCCAAACAAAACCAAGTGTGTGGATGGCGCACTCCTGTGGGCTGATGACATTGAGAAATCCTTCTTCCAGGCATGTAATTGGCTTGACATCTGTGGAAGGAATGGCATTACTTTAAACCCTGAAAAGTTCACTTTTGCACAAGACACCGTGGAGTTTGCAGGCTTTGAGATTACTTTCATTACCAGTGTTAGACCTTGCTTGAAGTACCTACAGGCCATCATGGACTTTCCTACACCAAAGAACATAGCGGACATGCGTTCTTGGTTTGGACTTCGTCAATCAAGTGTCATCACGCATTCAGCATGGCTGAGAGGATGCAGTCTTTTCGTCAACTTCTAAAGCCTGGAACACCATTTACGTTGGGATGACAATCTGGACGCTTGTTTCAAGAATCCAAGACCGTCATTGTCAATGAGATTGAGAAAGGTGTGCGCATCTTTGGCGCCAAACAAACCGACCTGTCTTGCAACAGACTGGTCGAAACCGCGAATTGGATTTTGGCTCTTCCAGAAGCACTGTCAATGCCCAAAGACCCTGCCATTTTGCTGTAGAGATGGATGGAAAATCACCCTGGTAGGAAGTCGTTTCACCCATGCGCGAATCCGCTATGCACCCGGTCGAGGGGAAGCACTAGCAGTGGTTGATGCCCTGGAGAAAGCAAGGTATTTTGTCCTTGGATGTAATGATTTGACCATTGCAGTTGACCACAAACCTCTACTAAAGATCTTTGGGGATCGATCACTTGAATGCATCTCGAATGCTTTCGACTCGTAACCTGAAGGAAAAAGACCCTGCGGTACAAATTCCACATGGTTCACATCCCTGGAGCCAAACACAGAGCTGCCGATGCTGTATCTCGTCACCCAACTGGTAACCCTGAGAGGATAGTTCTAGTGGATGATATTGCAGCCATGGACTGTACTGAACTTTCCCCTTCTCTGGATGTTTGTCATAACATCCTTGCCTCCATCAGATGCAGTGAAGAGCCTGACTACAGTGTAGAGGATGCCACTCTCCAGTCTGCTGCATCTGCAATCAGCTCCTTGGAACCCATCCGTGTGGAACAAGGTGAAAGTTGCCACCACTAGCGATGTATCCATGGCCAAACTCGTTGATCTTATTGAAACTGGGATGCCAGAATCCGCCTTGAACTTCCTACCTCACTCGTGAATATCATCAGTTCAGAGAGCATCTCCACCACGGTGAGGCGGAGTTGTGCTATACAAGGACGGATTGTGATCCCACCAGCACTACGTGAAGATGCCCTTACTGCCCTCCATTCTGCACACCAAGGCGTCTCATCAATGATGTCCAGAGCTGAAGCATCTATCTTCTGGCCCGGACTCACATTGGCGTTACAACCCTCGAACCAACTGTGCTCACTGCAATCGGATGGCTCCATCACAACCAACAGCCCCACCAACACCACTAGTATACCCATCTTACCCCTTCCAATGTCTATCGCTGACTTCTTTCATTACAAGGGTGTCAACTATCTGGTGCTGGTCGACAGATACTCCAACTGGCCAATAGTGGAAGAGAACTGCTGGAGGTGCACCTGGACTCATCAACTGCTTACGGCCTTTTTATTTGTCACATTTGGCATACCTGATGAACTTTCCTCTGATGGGGACCGAATTCACAGCCTCTGCAACCAGAGAGTTCCTTCACACATGGTCAGTACATCATCGACTATCTTCTGTGCGCCTTCCCCACAGCAACTGCAGGGCAGAAATTGGCGTGAAGACAGTCAAGCGCATGATCACTGACAACACCGGACCCCAAGGTGAACTTGACACGGATGCTTTCCAGCGGGCAATGCTTCAGTACAGGAACACCCCAGACAGAGACACAAAGTTATCTCCTGCTATGTGTGTTTTGGCAGAGCCATCAAGGACTTCATCCCCATCCTACCCGGTCGGTACAAACCTCATGAGACATGGAGCGATACACTATTACTGAGGGAGGAGGCACTCAGAAACCGACATATGAAGATGGCAGAGCGTCTCACCCAGCACACCAAACAGCTCCCACCTCTGCGCAGTTGGTGACTTTGTCAGAATCCAGAACCAGATAGGGCCTCACCCTCTCAAATGGGACAAAACAGGATGTGTGGTCGAAGTTAGTCAATTGACCAGTATGTTGTCTGCTGGTAGACGGATCAGGTAGAGTGACCCTCGCCAATCGGAAGTTCCTCAGGAAGTACATCCCTGCTTTCCAACCTCCATCTAGGCGGCTCAATTGCTGATGACTTGCCAAGGCCACAAACATCTACCCTTGACAATACCACCACCCCATACTATGTCCACATCCGGCTCAGTCAACATCAGAACACTTGACCACACCTACAACAGTCTCTACTGGTGACGAACAATGCACTCCGCATCAACAGCAAGTGCCGTCCAGACCAGCTGCTACGCTTGATGTCTCACAATCCACACCATCCTCACCTGATAGATCCCGTCCACTCTGTCCGGTGATCAGAAAACCCACTGTCCTGACAGAGTCACCAAGCATCGATCCTTCATCGACCCTAACAGTAGACACAAGTGTGATCCACCCACGACGTTCTACCCGCACCAAGAAAAAGCCAAACTGGCTGTCTGATTACGTGCATGTTATTGAGTCAGAATAGTCCCTGGGCCAAAGGACAGTCTACCCAGTGAAAGCCCTGAATGCTTTGTTGTCAGTTTCTCTCTTTATTCCAGTTTGTTCCAAACGTTTAGACTTTTCCCAATCACTTAAGGACAATTCAAGACATTATGCTTTATTTAACTCAAACCCGAGTTCTAGTCAGAACTGTTTCTTTCAGTCCTTGCCACATCTTTGTCAAAATCCGACAATGACCTGGGGAGGGATAGAGGATTATATGTTATTTAATTATCTGTTATACATGATGTGTTTACTCTCATTGCAGATCTCCATCATTTATGATCGACCGTGAATAAACAGTCATCTGTAAAAAGTATTGCCTACTTATTTAAAAACTGCACAAACATAAGCATATTACATACAGTTCAGTTAATTACCGACAACATAGACACCAAATACTTATATCATTTTAGGTTTCAAGTTTCATTATCAATAGTAATATAAGTACATAGAGAAATGAAACGTGATATGCATAAGAAATACATGTAATATACATAAGTAATGCTATAGATGCATTAATCATAAAACAAATTATAACACACTCAAACTCAGTCTATGATGAAGATGTGCCTCATTACAAACATAGCTCCAATTTCTTTTCATAAGTTATTCAACTCATTTCATGCACAAACACCTGTCTTCTATCCTTTGTCTTCAGTTTCTGTGAACCTAAAAGAAACAAAATGACCTTTCAAAAAAGCATTAACCAAAAGACAAGTAATAGAATAGAGCTACAAGGTGCTGTTGCTCACCTGAATTTGTATTTTACACTCTTGGTAATTATATGTGCATGTTGTGGACCAAACCATCACTTTACCTAAACCTAGAGAAATCTGAGGTAGGTAAATGTACTAAGAATAGGCTCTAAACAGACATTGGGCAGCATATCATGCGTCACAGTACCCTAAAGTGTCAGCAAACTGCAATGCAGCCATCAAATCATCACTATCTTCAAAATGAATAATTACTTGCTTAAGCAATCAGGCTCTGTAAGATGCATCGGGTGATAAACATTCCCCTCTGTGAATAAACAGAACTTTCAAGATGACAGAAAGATTGGAAACTGAATGGCCCTTTCTGAGGTGAAGATGTTTAAAACAATGACAATTGATAAATAAATAAGAAGTAGCGACATCAGCTCATTTGACTTTCTCTCAGAAGACCTAAAACTTCAAAACACAAAACATGTTTATGGTAAAATAGTATATGAAACAGAACCATTTCATAATGTTATGAATTGCATGATAGCAGCAATGGTTTAATTTTTGGGATAAAAACAACCTAAGTCAGTGTCATCATTTGATTGAAGTGCATGTAATGCACATTGAGCACAAGTTGTTGTACTATATACGTAGTATTATACTATATACGTGTACTATTATTTTTGCCAAAGCAAATATCAAAAATCCAGATCAAATTTAAGTTTCATTTATCACTTCATAGGGAAAGGCGCCTTTATCCTTAATATTCTAAACCTCTTTTGGTTTCTGCTCAAATGGTTTTAGAGTGTTAAAAAGATGACTGAATATAAACCTGGGTTTGGGTTTTTAAATTACATTTAGCGAACTTGAATCAGCGATAAAGGACATAAAATTAAAAACAGAGTAGCTTTATCTTCTAAATCAACCACAAGCACATCAAACAAGAAGACAAAGTCATCAATATCCCCCTCAATGGCAAAATACTCTTCATGAATATGTCTACAAGTTATGATTATGTCAAATGTTTTGGCGTGTATATAGAAAAGTGGAAGGAGAGTACTGAGAGGTTTCAAAGTTCTGCTCCAGAAAGGAGCACTACCATCAAATTCAGTTGAAGCCAAAATTGTTGCCATGGAAACGCCACAAAAAAAAAAAATTATTCAGAAATCCACAACTACCAAAAGGCACCAGTTCACCACTAGACCTACATATGTATGAAATTTGGTGATGAAACAGTGAACGGTTTTTAAGTTCTGCTCCGGAAAAGAGCACTATCACCAATTTCAGTTTAAGTCAAACTTGTTGCCATGGAAACGCCAAAACTATTTGATTCAGAAATCCAAAACTACCAAAAGGCACCAGTTCACCACCAGATCTATCTATGTACCAAGTTTGGTGAAGAAACATTGAAAGGTTTTAGAGGTCTGCTCCGGAAAAGAGCACTACCACCGATTTCAGTCTAAGTCAAACTTGTTGCCATGGAAACGCACAAAATATTTTATTCAGAAATCCAAAACTACCAAAAGGCACCAGCAGACCACCAGATCTATCTATGTGCCAAGTTTGGTGAAGAAATAGTGAACGGTTTTAGAGTTATGCTCCGGAAAAGACAAATGTGCACAGACGAGCGGACAGGTACATTTTAATACCCCCATAAAAGCGCAGCGTTGCGAGGGATAATTATCATCCAGAATTAAAAATTGTAATAAAAGGAGTTTTAATGCAAATAGTGTCATTTGATAATTCAAAATGATATGAGATTAGTTAGATAACAACATACTGGCAAACAAGGATAAGTTGAGAACCGACCTTACAATTGACCTGTATCAGCATGTATGAGTGCCGCCAACTGGCGCGCTTGCCATTGTGAGTGAAGGGGCCCCAGGTTGTCCGACTTGTTACACCGACCACGTGAGAGTCTTATGAGCAAGGTGTGTCCAGCTACGCGTGGAATCAATTTCATCCTCATGCACTGCACGTGCACTAACCTACATCTGCACTACCTTTCACAAACCAAATGGGTTTGCTCATTGCCGTGCACCACCTACTACTTGTAAATGTGTTCTCTGTGCCGGTCCAACTTATCCTTGTTTTCCAGTAAGATTGTCAAAGGTAGGATTTTACCAGTCTTTATTACTTCTTCCGAAAGCGCACTTTCTTACGTTGTTGTTTCTTCTCCATCTGCTTTGGTACAGGATAAAACCGTGATGATCTCTTCTCCTCCTTCATTTTCAGTTCCTGGTAACACAGAATGAAATTTGATTTCATACCTCAAGACAGTTGTAAGTGTAATAAATAACAACTATCATGTACTAATTAATAACCCTTTGCAAAATTAAACTGTAGGTTATATGACAAGTGATCTAAATATGACGTGTTAACAGCATATTTGTAAGTTGAAGTAGTATAGGTGGACTCAAAATCTGACATATTGTGATAAAAAAGATTAGAGCTTGATCGACACAAGAAATTTTCACATGGAAGGAGTTTATTAAAACCATACACAATGTCAGTGATGGAGCTGAGGAGAACAAACTTGAAAATATTAATAGTATTTCTGGTTGGGGTAAGCATTTTAAAATCACTGTTTAATATCATTGTCTGTGATTTTGTTATGTGATAACCCCAAAATGGCAATCACATGAATATGTTTCATCTTTGCTAATGTGCACTCCCTTACATGTTTCTCTTGTTGTTTATTTTGCAATATGTATTCAAAATAGACATATAACCCTGGCTTATAAATATTTGGCATCATGGTGAATGGACAGAGGATGTGCAGTCATGGGCAGCATGACATCATCACTTTGTGCCTGCCACTACACACAGATGTGACTTGAAAAATGCCACTGGGGTTAACATTTTCACTCGGAGCATACTCGTCTCCATGAGGCTGGTCTCCATTCATGGAGCATGTATAATCTTATCCCATTGATCTGATATCGCAGGCAGGCATATTTTGACTCGACTGAGGATTATGTTGAATAGACAGGCAAATGGACAACTGTAACTCAAAATTCATTAAGAAGACCACTGACTGAAATCACCACAGAGACAGTTTTGAAGTTATCCTATCGAAATACATGCAGAGGCATTTCCTTCCTTAAAGAATATTAGATAACGTCAACTAAGAAAACTTAAGGCAATAACATATTAAATCAGTGTTGCACTTGTACTTACCTGAACACTTTCAGCGATGAAGACAATGGTACAGTGAATGTGTTCAATGCAGTGCGCATCATGAAGTAGTCCAGCATCTGCATTACTACTTTTAGCAACTGCATCTTCATAAACTCCCTGTGGCCACAGAGTTTTCTCCATGAGTAAGGGCGCCAGTTTCTCATCTTGGCTGGCAAATCCTGACTGGATATACCGAAATACAATCTTCTTCAAAGCAGACATTAATGCTTCTTGAAATTTGAAACCAGAGCACTTGACCAATGCACTCAACTGCTTTAAACATTCTTCCGGTAGTTCACTCCTGTATTTTTCTTCGAGGCCATCAAAAATGACATCAGCCACAATATCTTCTGTGAATTCATACACAGAAATGATTTGACATAGTCTAATTCTACTACATAATCCATCCACTTCCTTTACTCTGTTTGGGAACAAGGACTGCCATGTTTGTAGGAATTCACTCAAGTACTGACTTTTGTCACTGCCAGATACTGGGGTTCTGTTCAGTAAACTAAATGTCATTTGCAAATAATCTAAAAGTATTTGCATATTTGATGGACTTTTTTCTTTCACTTGAAGAATGGAATTCTTCAAATCTTTGTCAACAGGATCATGACCAACAGTCCTTGAAACACTTTCAAACAATTCATCTGTTTTATGCAATGATTCACCAGCAAAGTTTATCAATGGAAAACTTGATCCAATTTTGATCACTGGCTTGCTCAGTACACACTCATCAACAACCTGTGTTTCAATTTGGTACATGTCATAGTGTCTTTCTCTGCCATGCCCAAATTTTGTGCTTATCTGTGAGAATTTAAGAGTACTTGTCAAATCTGGCACTGGTATAACCTGTTTGGAATTGAGGTGTTGCAGTTGCACTTCAGGTACAACTGCAACCCCAGGTGACGTTTTGAGAAAGCTTATAGATAAGCTATTTGTAGACAAACACAAAGCTGCTGCGTCTGACAGAAAGTCATTCTGGATAGCTTGCAATGCCAACAGTAACTGCATCATAGGAGACTGTTTTGTCATCATTAAACAATCTTGAAGTAAGATGGTTTGATGAATTCTCTTTAATTCTGGCAAATGTTGATTGTAAGTCTTCAGATCATCATGATGATCTTTCAATGTATTCCAAGACTTCATGAAAGTGTCAAATTTCTTCTGCAACTCTGCCTTCTTGCTATCTGCATTCAGGAGCTGCTGTCGATGTGTATGAATGAAATCTTGAACTGTCACAGTCCTGCAGCTCATTCTTGTCAGCTTGTGACTACCAAATCTAATGACACACTTATGCCACTGTACAATTGGGATCAAATGCTGTAGAAGTGATATGTGTTTCAGTCTATCAAACAGCAATGCCATCATGGGAAATTCATGCACTTGCTTCAGAATGTGAAATTCCCTTTGCAAGTTCTCTGTGGTGGGAATTATATGATCTCTCATTAATCTTGGAAGTTTTGCCAATCTGTCTTCATCCCAAGGTATTTCAGCCAAGAGTAATTCATGCCTTGAAGCAGTGCTGTCAGAATGTCTAGCATGGTATTGTTTTGTTTCATCCTGAACAATTTGGAACCGTTTCTCCATGATCTTATCAATACATGTGGTAAATTCCTTCTCGTATGATTCACGTTCATCTCTGCTATGAAACTGAACATTATGTCTAGCAATGAGGGGCATGCAATCCTTGATGATAAAGTTCAACAGTTTTGACAGTTGAGAATCACCAAGTGCAGTCAAACGTTTCAAAGCACACCAGTGCACATGAAGATGATTTTCAATGTAGCTTGAAGGATCAACAGATTCTGGCAAGTGCATTGCTTTTGAAAGTTCTTCCTTAGTTGTAAACTTTAAAGCAAGTGATGCACAATAACAGCCATGTACAAATAACTGTAGGACCCGGAATGCAGCAGGAGACAGACTTCCCACAGATACATATTCACTTTTCAGGCATCCAACATCAACAAATATGTACCCTTGTCTGTCATGACCTGTACTCTCCATGGTTGAAATATGACACAAATCACTGTCTTGCAGAGGTTTTTCGCATATGCTGCACTGATGGTCTTCTATGGTCACATCATGGATTGTAACACTTTTACATGAACAGTTAGATCTGGCATACTTTGTCTTCTTTGTGACCAATGGGGCTAATGTATAGCAGTGCAAGTCTCCTTCTTTATAACCACATCCTGGAAGATAGATCTTTTGTAAATCTTTTGGAGCTTGTATACACCTCAGCCAAAATGGACTTTTTTGACTGACTGCTCCATAATTTGAATTAAAGGCAAGGACAGCGCATATCAAGTGCAAAATGCACATTGACAAATGGTGGTCTTCTGCTGATTTATTTGGATTGGTCTGTAACAACAGAAATGCAAAATCCTCCATTGTACACAAGTTTGTGAACATTTGTCGTTGATTGTCAAACAATCTGACATGACATTCTTTCCAGAACTCTTTCACTTTCTCGTTTCTTTCTGTATCAGTAATTCTTCGTACACTCTGAACAACATAGATTTTCTGAAGAGCAATAGCAAAGACACCATACACAATTTCAGGATTGGATTTTATGCTTTGAAGTATTTTCTTTAGTTGTGTGCTGTCTTTGGGTAATAAATCATATGCATCAAGAATCCGAGTATAGACATCCTGATAGGTCATTTCCATGGGACACAGTTCTAAAGCCAAGAATCTATGTTCATCTTTCATTTGAAATTCACTGACAAACGGCCACTCTGATGAATACTCACTGACAACTTCATCCAATTTCTTTAGGGCTGGGTCCTGAGTAATGACTTTCAAAAGGAAAGTTTGTAGGGACTTTGTTCTCATGTTTTTAAGTGAATCAGTATCAGATTCATCACAGCTGAAAATCCCATGAACCTTTTGAATGATGTGTGCATCCATTGCCATATTTTTGTTCAACTCAGAGGCAAGATGTATCAAAAAGTTTTTCAGGTAGGCCAGTGCAAATAAATGATGTAAGGTTAATCCATCTGATTTAAAGATTTTGTCACACTTTAACACTTTCTCTAGTGTGTCGCTGTCTAAGGGAAAGCTCTGGGGACAAAAGTTTGTTTGCAGAACATCAAGCAGGAGAGACAAGCTAACTCAGAATCAGGTTCCCCATTGCCTTTGAAAGTATCAATGCAATCCTCCAAACACTGTAATACAGGTGACTCCTCAACTACATTTTCCTCCCCAAGAATATCTGATTCGATTTCAATCAACATAGTCTGAAGATTTGTTGGTCCAAAGTAGTCAAGTGAAGACTCAAATATTGATAGATTCTGCAAAGATTCGAATGTCCAATCCAGCAAAGACTTTTGTGTGTCTGCATCCAAGCAGTTGCTGATATAAATAGAAAAGAAATGCTGTAGAACACTGCAAGGTACTGATCCTGTTTTTAACAGTTCCTCAGCTAACTCACAAACTATATTAAAGACAGTCCTACTTTCAAGTGTATCAGATTTCAGTGCTTGGCCAAATCTGTGCAGGTAACTCATTGGCAACTTGAATGGAAACAAGACAACATATGTGAAGTCACTGCACATTCTTAGTGATAGGAAGTCTTTTGACTCTGACACTTGTCCTGCAAGAGATAAAACCAGATTAACCCCATTTATCCATTTTTCTAAATCAAGTCTTGACAAGAGCTTTTCTGTAGGGATCAACTCTTGGCAGGCAAAACTCACTAAGGCAGTGTTAACATCTTCACAGTCATCTGCACATGGTTGTTCATCTACATTTGACAGTTTGTCTTTGATCATTTCACTTTCATCTTCATCAGAATTTGGTTTTTCTTCATATTGTATTTCATCAGGAGTTGGTGGCTTCAAATAGTCTTCCATCTGGTAACAGATTTCATCTCCACTTTGTGTTTCAGATTCAGATTCTAACTCTATATCCATTACATCCACCACACTGCTTGTGCGCTCAGCATCTAGCTGTTCTTCTGCATCCTCATCTTGGACATACTTTTCCAATGCACCATGTTCCTCTGAGCTACCTGAAGGTACTTCTTTCAAACCTTCATTTGCTTGTTTCTGTGAATCAGATAAAGTTGCATTGATAGAGAGGTTACTGCTTTGCAGAAAGTCAGCCATTTCTGTCTCTGTTAGGTCAAGGCACACATCAATTAGTTTGACCTCTGATTCGATGACTGGGCCATACAACCAACATGTGATATGCAAACTGCATACATCATATTCAAATGAATATCGTTTTCTTGTAAATCGTGACAAGATTGACCTCTCTGTTGCCTTTTCTCTCTGCTTTTCTGTCATTTGCAGTTTGATTCCTGAGAAGATGACATTACAAAAGTCATGAAAGTAGTCAGTAAACTGGTTTTCAGTGTAAGTATTTTCAAACATGTCCATTGCTGCCTGACTCACTGTGGGCTGGAATTGCATTGTCAATGTATCCTTGATTTCTTCATTAACTTCATCAATATCAAGGTCTGAATATTCAGCTCTGAAGGCATCCATGAAAGGTTCTTTCAAAGTTTCTATCTGATCAATGAACACTTTGCTGAAGGGGCACCTGAGCGAAAGTACACTGTCCAGAATGACGTAACACTCAGGACCCTCTGGTGGTGGAACTGATTCAGTATCAATCATAGTTTTATCATGTGTGAGGTTTAACCAGACCCCTCTTTTTCTGTCTTTGTCTTCAGTATTGCACCACAAAGTCACAGAATCCCAAGCACTTGCAGCTTCAATTTTGTAAACAAGGGCTGCTAATGGATGTTTTATACATGTTGAAACTTCATGTTCAAGAGCATCATGTAGGGTAAGAAAATTGTAGAGCTTTAGTCTATCACATGCTACATCAAGTTGCCAGCACTGAGATTCATCTGCATATGATTGTTCCTCTAATGTGGAAAACACCAATTCCTCCAGGACTTTCATCAATTTTGAATCACTCACTGTGGCATCAACTACATTCTTAAGACTCTCCAAACTCCTTGGTATGTCATGATAGTCAAGTAGGGTGAATGCCCAAAAGAGATGCTGCTTCAAAAAGGAGGTTATTGGGCGTCTGTCATGAATAAGATGTATCTTCCTTTTATGCAGTACGTCTTGAAGAGAGATCTCCCTATTGTCAAGGCTATCTATGAATGTCATATTCCATCCACTCAAAAAGTTTACAAAACTTAGAGTGTTTTCAGAATCATTTCTGTCCATGTGCATAACAATCATGACATGTTTTGGGTCTTTGGGTCTTTTTGTGGATATGAAATCAGCCTGTTCTCGGTCTGCAACAGATTTCATCAAGAGAATATTTTCCTGATCTGTACTTGCTGAGCACTGAATAACAAGCCATGTCTTGTAAGGGTCATTCCAAAAACTCCCTATTCTGGTACAAAGTTGCTTTTCAGATTTGAAAGCACCAAGCTTTTCACTTTGAATAACAGCTGTACTCATCTCCACACATGCACTAACATTTGTGTGAAGATTGCTGTGAGTAAAGATTATTTCCTTCAAACAACATTCACTGTCTTCAAGTCTTGCATTCAGAAAATGTGCCAAACCATAGTGAACAGGCAAATGAAAGAACATGTCCTGCAGTTCTTGTACTTCATTAGGGTCTTTCTTTTGAAGTTCACTCAAATCCATTCGCACTACTGATTCTGGAGAACACATTGTCAGCATCATTCTTTTGCACATGTTCATATGATCAGTGGAGTCAGGTTCATTGTTCTGTTTTGAATATACAAAATGAACAAGTGAAGCAACCATGTCTGGGTTGTCTATGGGAATAACATCACACCTTGTAAATGTATGCCCTTGTATACTTGCAATTTCACTGACCCAGTCTTCTAAAACTGACACAGCCTTCATTTCAGTTGTTGACAGTAATTCAGTCAGTTTCATATACTGTTTTTCAAATCTGTTCAAAAATGGTAGGTCTGATAGATCTAGTTTGTCCTCCTCTACCAACACAATGCATCGGAAGTCATCATGCACATGACACAATGGGTTGCTGTAAGCTCCAAGTGCAATGCGGCAATTCTTCTTTGAGCCTACAATTGTGTAATTCTGGTTGAGCATGTCATACAGACTACCATATATATTCTCCAAATCCTTCAAAATCAGTACCACCCCTTGCTCCATACACAGTATGATATTGCTCAAAATACGATAATTGTAGTCATCTGTTAAATCCTCTTCAAAATGACTACCAAGGATTGACACAAACTTTCTGTTCTTTTCAGTTAGCAAATCTTCAATTATGCTCAAAGCAGATTCTCCTCTTGTTGACAAAAGTAAATGACGTGCAGATTTATCATTGATGTTTTCAGCTACAAGTTCTAACACTGACGGAATGTCTTCCACCTCAGGGAAGTTGACAGAAAGCAACTTCTCCAAATGCTTTCTGTATACTGTCAGAACAGAGTGGATTTCACTGGACAGTCCCCCAAAGTTACGCAGCAATCCTTTCGTAATGATTCGTAACTGGACACTTGAATCAACAGAGTCATGGTCAGATAAGGCACTGAATTCCTTTGAAACATATTTCACAAGTGAATAGAAGTCTCGAAGACCATGGAAATTCTTAAATGTCTGTTCTCCTGTATACTGCAAATAAGCATTTGCAATTGCTTGAACAAGATCTTCATTAATTTTTCTGTCAAAGTGTTCTGATGGGTGCAGTGATGACAGACTCATTCTCTTCTGATTATCTGATACACTAGTCTCACTGATAGAAATTCCTGTAAGATATAGCTCTTTAGCGTCCATGTCAGGTCTTGAGAGATGGATAGCTCTATTCATCTTAGCTGCATCAAGAGCCCAGTTGGAAATACCAACAACAGCAACATTTGGAAGCTCTGTTTCCCCAGGTTCTAACAAACTATGAAGAACTTTTAGGGGATTAAATCTTGACATCTCTGCAAGTCCAATTTCATCCAAAATGACAACAGGTAGAACACTGTTGTCTTTGTCATTCTCTTTGTATTTTTCAGCTTTAGCAAATACCTTGAGGATACCGTCAGAGGTAGATGATTCAGATCCTTGGTATGACACACAGAACAACTGAGGCAAACTCTGGAAATATGGATCTTTTGAGTCTTTCCCCCTCAAGTTACTCTTAATCAGCTGCAGAGACAAAGATTTACTACAACCAGGTTTCCCTACAACAAACACAGGAATGTGATTAAGGATACAGACCAAAATGACAAATACATTTTCCTGGAGAGCTGTGTTTTTAGCAGTACCTTGGGGTAATTCCATTCTATTGAGAATGTCTCGTTGTTCACTTTGGATGATAGTTATGATGTCATGCTCAGTTATACTGACAAGATGTTTAGCAAAGATCATTGCAATTTGTTGTCTGTAGGTCTGTCTGCTACATGTGTCTGGTAGCCGAGAGTGGTATGAATGTGCTAATGCTAAGACCACAGAGGACCTTTCCATCTGAAAACTCAAAGGAAAGCATTTCTCCTTTAATTTTTCCTTCTCTTTCAATGTCTTTTTAAACCAGTCAATCAACTTCCGACATCTACTCACATCACGAAGACTAACACATGATCCTGAGTGTTCCCTTTCACGGATAAAGCTCTGAGACATAACCAACAGTTCAACTACACAATTTTGTAAACCCCGCTGAACACAGCCAGTTATCATGCGCTTTATGTATGCCTTTTCATCGCTGTCACTCAGACTGCCATAATCCCATACAAAATCCACCATACTTTCTGGAAGAGGATTCACCCTGTACACTAGTCTAGACCTTTCATCAGCTTGCACTTTAGTCTCAAGTCCCGCAGTGAAAATACTCTGATCACTTCTTATCTTGTATGGATTACATGCTGCCATGACAACAAGATTGGGAGCAAGCCTCATACCATGGCATGTGTGATGGCAAAGAATTGCATTGATTAAACCAAGGTGGTTGCAAGTGTTGATTTCATCTAGAAACAGCCAAACTACGTCATCCAAGGAGTTCAAAGCTGTTTCATTCACTTCCAAAACCGTCTAATAATCTCATCTTCTACAATCCCGGCATGTATGTTCTGTATCTTTAGATCTACTCCACAGATCACAGACAAATATCGGATCAAACTTGTTTTCCACACCCAGTTTCCCCATGATGATGACAGGAACATGAGCCCTCGTTAAGTAGTATGATTAGTATCATTTTCAATAGATTGTCAGGTGTCAGAGCATAAGATGAACTCATGTGATTCTTAACCTTATCAGATGTTGCTCCAGGTTTGAATCTGGCAATTCGTTGCAACATATCTTGAAGTTCTGTTTGACTTAGTTTTGAGAACTCAGGCATAGCAGCTTTCACTTGTGTTTCAAAGAGTGTTTTCACATGTACAGGTACCAAACTTTTGTTCCTGTAAAGAGCAGAAAGTGTTTGAATGTCTTGATTGTGAAATGCAATCAGTAAATGATTACTTTCCTCCCACTGTATCATGGCTTCTACACGTTTTGTCATTGCTGAAGCTGAAGCAGAAGTAGCTACTAGATTTTCCACACTCTGATTGATATCAGCAGATTGACTCATTGTTAGAACACTGGCTGTCTGATCTTCCCGACATGCATGAACAGATCTTGTAGCAAATTCCCTTGACACATCAAGGAGAGCCCTGAACAACTGACTCTTAACATCTTTTAAATGTGCATCTCCACCAAGCATTCCAGATATGTTTGTTGTCCTGAAGAAGTAACTGCATGAAAACTTTTTCAATTGATCCGACAACACATTTAAAAATGTTCTCACGAGAGTGAAGGACATATCTGTTCCACTTGAAAAATACTTCTTGAGCATTTCTGTACACTTTTCCTGTGGCAAGGGCCTGCATGCAGCTTCACCGGTAAAGTACAAGTCAGTGGTGTCCAGTTTTCCACAGTCATACGCTTGCAAGTAGTGACAGACAACTTGCAAAGGGCTGCATGTTTCATTGCTTACACAAAAATTAGCATAATTTTGCCATTTGAGCACTTCTCTTCTGAAACACAAAACTGTATTTAATGAGTTTCTAAGACTGTTACTGATAGTGTTTGCTACCTCAATACAAATTGTTTTTGTTGTGAGTTTCACTAGATCAGATCCATGGGAAACAAAACCTAGCACTATCAACTGAGTGAGAAGCAGATCCACGTCCTTGGGTTTAGAAAGCATTCCAATATCAATGTGAAGCAGATCTGATGATGTCAAATCAATGTCGGACATCTTTTCACAAGTTCTTTTGGGGTCATTTCTCCACTGACATGCAATGAGCAGACTCTCTTTTGTTTTGACCATGCCAGTTGCTGGATATATTCTGATTTTCCTTGACCTGGGACATCTGATAAGACAGTGACAACATCTGGCCATAATGTTTGAAGACATTCTTCCATTGCTGATTGTGACATTGGCTGCACTTGATGAACATTTTCTCCAAAATGATCTAAAAAGGGGTGATGAGCATTTCCTCTACATATTATTGCCAGCAGGTAAGACTCTTCCTCCATTGTTTCAAGTATATCAACAAGCCTAAATTGAAGTTCACTTGACAGATTTTCAACACAGACAATGGAGAAGAGCTGATTTGGTTTCTTTTCCCTTTTGCACCTAGACACCTTCAGTATGAGAAGTTCAATGTCTTCCCAAAGTGTATCCTCTTGACAGAAAAGTACTTGGCTTGACATTGGTAAACATCTAGTTGTGTTTTTGTACAAAGCTAACAGAGTTGGTACAGCAAGGTCACTATCATCATTCAAACCCACTAGAAATAATTCACCTTCCTGAACTGCGTCAGCGACCCTTCCAGATTTAGTATCAGGAAATGGAGTCAACATTGTTGTTTTACCTTGAAACAAGATCTCTAACGTTTTTCCAACACTTTTCAGTCCAAAGGCATCATGTCCTATATCCTCCTGAACGTGGGAATATATGTCATTTCCTCCTGATAAATGTTTTAAGTCATAACCAGTAAAGGACAAAAGATCGGATATTTCTGTATCCACTTTACTGTGTATTGCTTTGAAGTGATTTTCAATTTGACGCAATTGTTCAGGATAAAAAAAGTTGAGCCAATAATATTGGTTTCTACTATCTCTTAATGCACTTTGCCAATTCACTAGTGTATTGCCATATTCAGTGGCACATTGCTGCAGATCTATTATGTTCAATGACACTGTGTATTTATCAGGATATTCTGGATGACCTGACTGACAGAGTTCAGTCAAAATTGAAACAATATTCATGGCATCATCAACAGACTGCTTAAATACTTCAAAATCTTCTTTGATCTTGTCCTGTTTTTTGGCTTTGCCTTTCTCTTTCACATCTGTATTCATTAACATAACTCTGCTTCTCAAGTCACTAATGTCAGAGTGTGTATGAGTCCTTGTTGTGTTGTGACTCCTATACTTCAGATTTAAATCACATCCAGACTGGGATAACGTAAATACATACTTTGATCCTTGCTGGACAGCTTTCTTGACAATTTCTTTCGTAACTTCACCCCTGTTGGCAACATTATGAAAAAGAGCCTTTAGGCTGTGAAGGTGGGTGTTACACTCAGAAATCTTTTGATCCAGGTTGGTTATTTTTGAATCAGTCAGTGACTTCTGCAGCATTGTCAACACATGTTTCACTTCTGAATGGGGAGTTTCCCTAAGTATTGGGCTGAGAAATCTTTTCACATTTATCAGAGCAGACACAGTTGATTCTTGCACAGACTGTTCTGAGTGCTCCTCCACAGCATCAATTAGGTTACGCAGATCTTCCAAGGCGGTCTCTCGAAGAAAGTCTACAAGAAAAGATGATTTTGAAAGTTCCTCCAAAATGTTTGAAAGTTCACCTTGAAGTATCTCATTTATCTGACTCAATATGTTTCCAGTCTCAAACAGCTGTCTCAGTGTTAGGTCATCCAAATTATTTTCTTCAAGTGATGTAAATGCTTGCACAGATTCTGCAAATGTTTCCTCCAATTCCTGTAAGTGAAGTATTTTCAACACCTTCCTCAATATTTCAACTCTAGCAGAATACTCAAAGTATTTGTCAAACATGTGAACTGCTTTCTTAACCCAAACTTGTAACTTCCTGTCAAAATGACATTCTGCTACTGACTGTTCAGAAACACTGTCATCAACATCAAGCAGGGGTCGCATGTCACCTATTCTTTGATCAGAGCCATCAAAAAGGGGCCTCCACATATTTTCATAGTCTCTTATACATTCAGAAGCAAGCATTCCCATCACCTTCACAGTTACATAAGGGTTATCATCTTCAATTCTGTCTTCTCCAAACAGCTGGCAAATGTCGTCTTCTGGATTTGAAGGCATAACTGTTTCTAAAATATCAGGAATTGATAACCATTGGTTTATCACTGTTTTAGAGATTTTCCAAAAACTTTGTGACTTTGAAACATTGAAAATATGATCACTAGACCTCAGGATATCACAGAAAGGGCCCCAAAATGAATGATCAAGAAGAGCTGATACAACTACTGATCCCGCCTGTACTTCTTTGTGCATTTCCTGAAACATTTTAACTGCAATTTTTAAATCAGGCCATTTTCCCCAAAAGAGATGTTTAAGTTTGTTCAAAATATTAGTAATGAATTCGTCATCATGTTCTGCCCTTTTCCTAGCTTCGGGTAACAGTGACAGTGCCTTATCCAAGTCTTCTTTCTTGCAGACTGTACCAGAAACTAAAAGCAGTTTGGTACACTTAGAATAGCCATCTTTCACTACTGCATGTAATTTCTTTGAAAATATGAGGGACAATGTGTTAGAACACAACTTTTGTGCCATCTGGGCAGAAGCCCTACAAGCTTTTCCAAGGACAACATTTGTATTCAGGAATTCATATTGCTCCGCCATTTCCAGAAGGTTTGTCCAGAACTCCGCATTTTTTAACATCTGAAGAAAGCAGGTTTCATCATTCTTTGTTTCCAGTAAGCCACGTTTTTCGATGCATTTCACCAGCATCTTTTCATACAATCTGAAAAAATATGCAAAATTAATACAATGTAATATTCTATACAAAAAACGAAACTTCACATGAGTTACTTTATGTTCCAAACATACCCATATACAAAATGTGTTACAACTGGATAAATCTGGCTTATGAGCGGACACTAAAAGAGGATTAAGCATTAGTACTGTACCTGATCTGATGCTGATAACTTGTGTTACCAGCATCCCAACATGACGGCAGGTAAGATTGTTTGGCGATTTTTTCCCTCAAATAAGCAGTCTTCCTATGTGTATACAATCAAAATTTCTTAGCACACTTATAAACCTTGATGGTGTTGTTATAGGGACTTATTCAGGACAGCCTTCGTCCAAATATTTAAAAAGTAAAAACTATGTACTCAAGACATGTGAGACTTTATTGTAATTATTTATATGATACTAATCTGTACTCTATGCAATCCTTATCACTTCCGCATTGTACATTGACTTGTCAGGCAATTAATTACTGTATATGACATTTATAGCCCTAATTGGTCATCCCCTTTGGCCGTGTCTGCCATCACATCAACTGGTCAAGGAAGTGCAATTGTTTTTCTGTCTGTCCATTTTTGAGTCGTCGCCTGTCCATTGTCGTCAAAAACTGTATATATATTCTTACATCTACAAGCATATTGAATAAAAACAAAACGAGTCCGGTATTCCGATTGCTTGTGTATGACGTCCGCGAGCAGGATAATGCCGCTCGTAGGAAACACCCTGGGGTTGGCAGGTACTCCGCTCACCTCATTTATGTCTTGTATATTTGTTTGTTATGTAACTACAGAAGTTTGAACTCAATGTATTCCTTTGTCTTGTCAACGTATTGTACGTACACTTCGTCTTAATTCCGAGCTAGTTCCCCACGCACTGACAGTGTGAATACATTGAATGCACTGGATTTACTTATCAATACAGGTTATTGATCAACTCAATCTGTTGATGTAATGTCTGACAGGTCACGTAAACACGTGTTTCACGTGCATGACCTCGGATCAGATTTACTGTGGATGTCGAGTCTGTAAACCTTGAGGGAACATCTCAAAACTCAAAACAGCACTCATTGTGTTCCTCCAGTGTCTGGCAGGACAGGTAGCAGCTGCTTTTTTTCTTTGGGCTACTTGGGACATGGGCGGGTCATTTATGAAATTTATGGATCCATCCAGACCAGATATACATGAACCTTAAAAGTAAGAATTTCCTATCTAGACCATGTGGTACATTGATCAACATTGTGGTACTTCTTGTTCTTCCTGATAGTGTAAGTACCTCTAAAAACCCTGTCAACCCTGCATAAAGCTCCCAGATTATCGTATTAATGAAAGGACCTCTCATTTCAGATGTCGTAAAATATGCAATTACTGTTATTGCCATACAGTCATGGAGTTACTTCATACAATTCAGCACAAATTGTCTGAACCAGCAGCTGTCTAATATGATATTTTGTAGACATATTTTAATGTAGCTTAGTACCTTTAAAATCAACTCTGTACTTATCCCTACCCTCAAAAAACGAGCTCTCCAAGAAGACGGAATAATCAGGAACTCAAATTACATCAAAGTGAAAAACATGCTGAAATTACATTTCTGAGCATACCTGCATCGTACATTCGTTGAATTTTCCGCAGTGGGACAGGTAAATTAGTAATGATACCACATAAACAATGTTTTCATCCCTAGGGACCTTTACACTTGGTAAACATGTTGTATTTTATAATTTTTATATTAAAACTAACAACACTAACACAATATTCTTCAGTTACCATCATCCTTCACCCTGCATTACCGACATCCTAACACGATTTTTAAAATGCATATTCTTCAACACACAGGGATCAATAAGACAAGAGTCATCAGAAGATGACATATCCCCCCGACCCCCACATATTTGAAAGAACAAATTATCTGACAGTTACTTAAAGTCCAGCTTGATTTTTTTTTAGACTAAGTCAAAATCGTTTCCATGGAAATCATGACTAATATAAATGCCAAAAATCTGTAAATAGCAAAAGGCACCATTTCAAAATTTGCCTAATATATCTGCCAAGTTCTGTTGAAAGATGAATGCTTGAGGAAACAAAGCTTTTCAAGTTGTGCTCGAATACACAAAATCTGCAAATAAAAGCCCACCCCTCCCCAAGTTTTGGGACTAAGTCCGAATCGTTTCCATGGAAATCGAGAAAATAATAAATCACAAAAAACTGCAAATAGCAAAAGGCACCACTTTGGCATCTGCCTCACATATATGCCAAGTTTTGCTGAAAGATATTAAGAAGATATTACAGGCCGGGGGGATAAAAATGTAGTGCATTCAATGTATTTACACCATCAAAGTTTATCAGTGTGCTAAATAATTGTGATTGTATACACGTGTAAGACTGTTAATTCGAGGGAAATAATCGCCAAGCGATCTTACCTGTCACCATGTTGGGATGCTGGTAATGCACGTTACCAGACTCACCTAAGGTACATAGATTAGGGTGTGGTGCACCCTCAACAGTCAAAAGCAGCATGATGGGGGTGACTTTTTTATTTCATAGACACTAGCCAACTTGTTCAATACTGTGTATGGACCCCTCTCGCATTCACAACAGCAAGGCAACATTGTCGCATTGACTGCCTAACACCTGTGAACACAGCATGAGACAACCTGCAACATTGCTGTATCAACATGGACTTAACATTCTGAGATGTCTCAAGGCATGAAGACTTCTTTCTAGAGCATCCCATGCGTGTTCGATGGGACTGAGATCAGGTGATCTTGATGGGCACTTTATGATGTCAATACTAGCATTTTGCAGGAACTTTGGTGTCAAAATTGGTGTGTGTGGTGTTGCATTGTCATTGCTTAACGCCTCATCAGCAATTTTCCAACTATTTATGGCGATGAAATGTTGAAACTGGAGGCCTTGATCAAGAGCAGTCATGAACAGACTTAGGATTGATATTCACTGCTCAGACACCATGCTCATTCTCTTCTGTTGGCAAATAGCAGCACACTAGTAAAACCTGATTTATAACCCCATTTCCATTTCCAGAAGTTCAGTATGTGTAATGTCTATAAACCAATTTTATTCACTAGCAACACACTGTTCTAGTAAGTGTTTTACATAAAGTAACACATGTGAAGTACTGTTTTTGTTCAGACATAACTGTAGATAACCAAGGATCAGAAAAATGATTTGTAGACATTGGTTGACTTAAGTAAAGCTTACACTTTCATCTCTTATTACTATTGTTCTTTTGGTCAAAAAACATTGTTATCCTTGGGATTGTTTCATATGCTGTGACTATTATTACTAGGTATATTTGCCTTGTAAATTGTAATTCAACTCCTCAAACATTATCTTCCAATAAACCTGTGATATCGTTTAAAAAATACCCAATAATATAAAACATGAAATTTGACTTCAATCATCTGAAGAAGAAAAAAGTATCTGAATATATTATTTTTTCCATTAGTAATATATTGTAATATCATCTTATTTTAACTGTAGGTTTTGCTCTATAAATGTAAAAAAAGGACAAACATAACCAGGGTTATTTGGTAGCCCACTGGTTTATTGTCAGACACTTTTTACAATTTGACCTGTCACTGTTAAGGTTTTGTGCTGTCCACCTATTTCAATCGGAAAACAAGAATGTTGACAAGAAATTTGATTTAGGAGGAGGAGATAATGAGAGAAAGAGGAGGGAAAGAAAGATAGGGCAAGAGAAGAAGGGAATAATGAAGGGGGTGGTTTGGAAAGCTGGCCAGTGTTGGGGAAGAGGTGGTCTGGTAATAGTTTTTGCTCTCCCTTGGAAAGGTTTAGCCTTAGTATTTGCATTGTGAAATCGGGCCAGTAGACTATGCTTGTTTAGGAGACATTTAAAACTGATACTTTCTTTTGAGAAGTCATTGCTCGAAAAATATTCTTACATTAAGCAGTCGACGAAAGGAAAAAAATCAGCAAATTTACAAAGAATGTGCAGATTTGCAAACATCAACCAATCAGAGGGCTTGCTTCGACCACACCCCAATTTTGTCAGGACATATCACCATCCATTTGTGTCAAGATCGTTTAGTTGAATGTCAAAATCGGGTTTCAATCGACTTGCAGAAATAACAATAAAGAATTGGTAGGTGCCATGAGTGGTGATCGATAGGCCAATCATCCATGATTATGTTTACATAAAGTTTTAATCGATTGCATGCGATGGCAGCGTAGCGATCGGCAAAGCAGGCGGGTGGGGTACACCGAAGTGTCCGGCCTTGTCATAATGTATTGTACTGTGAGGCATTTCGAGTCGGGGGTCATCTCAAATTGATTTTTTTCTCAAAATCTTTAATCCTCGCAAGACACAAGGGCCTGTGGTATGCACTAGGTCCACAGATGAATGTACATGCCATCTGTATGAAAGAGGAGTTTTGAAGAGAAAACCACCAGAATACTGCCAAACAATGGGAAGGATTGCATCGTCCAAAACCAATCATAACAATAAATCTTAAAATAGCCACTGGTTAACTAATACTTACTTTGAATAGTTTCTGCTTTGTGAATATCCAATCCAGGATGAAGTTCCAGCTTTAGATAGAATTATACCTATCATAACCGCCTGTTTTCCTTCTAACAGATAAGTCTGTAAATGTTCAGCAAAAACTTCCTGGCAGTGTGAATCTTCTTCAAAATCTGTTTCCAGTAACTTGTCAACTAAGCTTTGCACATTTTTTGTCTTCAAGAACATAAATGCTCTCTCTTTCAAACACTTGACAAGCATACAATTGCATGAAACACAATCTGCAGACAAAGCCCAGCCCAGATATTCATAGACATGTGGTAAATCATCAATTGGTCTGACATATCGGCTATCGCTACAGTGTAACTGAATAGCTTTTTCAAACCATTTCTGGGTCAATTCAGAAAGGATATCTTCGCCACAACCATCCAAAAAGTCATGTTTCAACATCTCTTTGAACAAGGAGTGCAACTTTTTGTTGTCTGACACTGCCAGTAATTTCATCACTTCAACACGAGAGGAAGGTTCAACAAAGAGATTGTCTGCAAGCAAAAGTGTCTGTAATTTGTGGCAGTCAAAATCACGAGTCTTGTGGGTGTTTTCACACATACCATTCACTTTCTGTTCCATACATCTGGCAATATCTCCTTTAACTTTTTCCCATTTGGAAAGCACTTCATGGAGCACAACCATCTGCCCAATGTTTCTTGTCTTCATTAGAGAAGAGCATTCATTCTCCACTTTCATACGAATGATAGTCTGGGTATCTGTTTTGAAAAAGCTTACATTTTCTTCCTCTGCCAGGGCAAATTCCAACGGTAAGTGCTGTAGCAATCTCTCAAAGAACTGGCAATATGAGGGTTCATCATCTGTGCTCACAAGACTGTATGTTCCTCTGAGAACCGATCTCACATGTTCATTGTCATGTACCTTGAATGTATTGGTTGAAATAGATTTCTGCAACAGCTTGGAGAAATATTCAGGTGAAAACAGATGAAAGCAGTATTCCAGTACAGTGAAGAAGTGGCATGGACTTTTAGGAAATGCAACTTGACACAAACTTTCTGCAATCCTCTTGAAAGCTGACATCATTGTGCTTGGTATGTCCTTCACAGAAATTTCCTTAAAACCTTTCAGAATTAACTGACAGATGGTTGGTGTAACCCATTGTGAACGCCTGATGCAATCTTGATTCACAGAGAGTTTACTATAAACATACCCCAGGGCACTCAAGCTGTCAGGTGACATGCCGTGTATTACAGGTTCAAAAAGGTTTTTCATCAACTTGAAGATTGATTCAATATCGCTACAGTCCTTAAATATATTCTTTGTAAGATCTTCAATTTGCATGAGAGCATCTTTATATCCATATTCCAAGATATTCAGTAAAATGTGACTAACATGACCACAAAAACCTTCTTCATAGTCAGAGAGGCCTTCAATGCAACGGAATATGTTATTTGTTCCCATTTCACGCCAAGCACACTCTCTCTTGTAAATTATGAGTGGTAGCCATGGAATACAATGGTGTATTATGATTCTACAAAAATGTTCATCAACATTTGGAGGAAAGTCTACCTTCCCACTGGTCCACATATTTTCGTCCAAAGATGTCATTCTTACCAAACCATATCCACAAAGTTTAGGTGAAAACTCAGCTAACACATCTTTGATATGTTTCTTTTTCACTTCACTGGCAGGAATGTAGAGAAGTACTTCTTTCTTGAGAATCTGAATAATCACACAAAGAGGTATTTAAAATATAATTGCATAATTCTACTTTGGTTCACTTTTTATGATGTACACAAAAGCAAAAGACTTTTCAAAAGAGGTATTTCAAATATAATTGTTTAGCTCACTTTTTATGAAGTACCTGTGATGATACCTGTATTTAATTATTGCAAATTACTAACATTTTAGATTTTACCTAAACTCAAATGTGTTTTCAGAAGTCATCTGTTTTAAAGTGTCTTCATGTACTTACATATTTTTGGGGGCAAATGCTTAAGACAGTTCATGGTCCTTTCATAACAAGAATAACAGTTCTGCAGCTATGTACCTAAGTATTAACGGGTATTTGTTTCAAATCAACATTAGGCATTCAGCTTGAACAGAAATTGTATGATTAGAAAGCAGAACTACTTCAGTTATCATATTCCAGATATGTAGGCCACTGGCTCTTGTACATTTCAATAAACATTTTAAGTTAAAAAACTTTACATATTCACACCTTTACATCTTACGTTACACAACAGTGCCAGATAAAATGTATTTAAAAAAAATAAATATCATTCATACTTATCCTGACTTACACTAATCGCTTATCTTAACATTTGAGTCAGGATAAGCATAAATGATATTTTTATCCCCCAAAATACATATTTTATCTTATATATACTGAGACACTTTGAAAACGCATATGAGAAAAAATAAAACAAGACATGGGATGAAATAAAATGTTATTATTTATAAAAAGCACATTAATAAGCATTCAGTCTGTTGAAGAAAAAAATAAATGAAATCTTGTCAACAGGACATGCACAGCGTCTTCGAAACTGAGGTGCGTGCGTGCGTGTGCACACACACACACACACACACACACACACCTGTTAACTCGCCTATCAAGTTCATCCCTCAAGTGTTCAATTGGGCTAAGTCTGGTGAATAAGCAGGCCAGTCCATCACGATGATTCCAGTTTGCTGAAGGAAGACTTGTGTCATAGGGGGCGTGCATTGTCATGCTGGAATATCAACTGACGTCATTGGTTACGGCGCAGCAAAGGAACGACTTTAGGCCTAACAATTTCATCCACATAGCACTCTGCTGTGAGATTGCCCTGAATAACTTGAAGATCGCCTGAAACAAGCATTTATTGCACCCCAAACCATCACACTGCCACTGCCAAATTAAACTCACAGTCTGACACATGCATTGGCATGGTTCACCATGTCACCAATAAACAATTGTACGAAAGAAAAGCCGTGAACAACATCCATACTGCTGTACAAATCGATGGTGGGCCTGACGGTGTCAGGGCTGCAATATGGTACCACAATAGGGGCACCAGGATCGTAAGCCTTTGTGTCTCATGCGCATTCTGAGTGTAATAGGGTGGATTCATCTCCCATGTCTGCCAATTGTGTTCGCTGCTGCTGCCGCTGTTGCAGTTGCCATCCTGAAGCGATCGTGGAGGTGCTCCAGTCAAATTGTAAGTCTGATATATCTGCCAATTTTTGTAGAAAGATATTGAACGGTTTTCTGGAAACAAAGCCCACCTCTCCCTTTTGAGACTAAGTCCGAATTGTTTCCATGGAAACCGGGAAAAATACAAATGCCAAAAATTTGCAAATAACAAAAGGTAGCACTTTGGGATCTGCCTCATATATCTGCCAAATTTGCAGAAATATATTGAACAGTTTTTGAGATGTGCTCTGGAAACGAAGCCAATCCCTCCCTTTTGAAACTAAGTCCAAAACGTTTCCATGGAAACCACACAAAATATAAATGACAAAAACCTGTAAATAGCCAAAGGCACCACTTTAGGTTCTGTTTGATACCTCTACCAATTTTTGTGGAAAAATATTGTACATTTTTTTAAATTATGCTCTGGAAACAAAATGATTACAGACGGACCAACGGATGCACGGACGGAGTCCATTTTAATACCCCCTGCAAAATGCGTCGCGGGGGATAAAAATGAGCATGTATTTGTGAATCACCATCAAATGCTGCAAGGAGTCCCTGCTGTATCACCAACACATGTAAATGCATGAGAACTGCATAGACTGACACTTAGTTTCTGAATATTTAGAATTTTGATAGAAACAATATACAGTGGAAGCCCTCTAAACCGGCATTTGTTGGGACCGGCAAGAAATTCCGGTATAGAGGGCATGCCAGTTTAGAGAACTTTTCCCTTTTATACCTGAGAATGATCTTCTGCGTAAAATACGACTGAACAACGTGTTGATAGTCATCATATTCATTTTGCATCAATAAAGATAACATCAGAAAATTGAAATTGTTGATTCAGTTGTTCTAGCCAATCGCTATTGTTGGTTAATGTAATTAACTAGGTTTATAACAACGGGAAGACCAACAAATATCCAACTTCTTATTACGTACTGTTTTCCTTGATATGCTTTGTTACCATTCACATGGTTTATAAATGTGTGTTGTTTGTACATACAGCCCATCACGTGTACATCTAGTATAGAATATTAATTATTTGTATTACGCGCCATTCATGGTTAGTTATCTTGTTTATCCCTGAAGGGCGACTAGACACGTTTTAATGTACACCATATACTGGGGTGAACAAATATTGACATACCACTATTATTTTATCACCATTGTCGCTACGCCAAATATTCCTTGTTTACATAGCAGGCGGGTCAGTCCCACTTCATCTCCTTTTAAGGAGCCAGTCTATTTTATTTAATGCACAGGTTATTTCGGCTCATGCGCGGTTGTCTGAAATTCTACTTCCAGTCATGCGCAGTTACTAGCGATAGTTAAGCCATGCTGGTATTGTTTATGCTGTGAGTGGAAAGTTGAAAAGTTCTGTGGCGAAAAGTTTTATTATCGAGGTGATTAGACTTTTAGCGTGTCGATTGATCCGTCATGCCTCCAGCAAGGCGAAGGAAATCTGGCGTTGACCACGATCACACGTCCTGTTCCAACAGCAAACAATCGTGACACGACCGAAGGCGTTGGAGAGCAAGACAACCATGGAACCCGAAGCCGAAGAGCCAGAGGCGAGTAGTTCCAGACGTCGTTACGCCGATATCACCGTGAACAATCGACCGTACTCAACTCTCCCAAGGAATTGGTCCATTGAGAGGATTACGAACTATATCGAGCAGATGTTGGGAATACGACGCCCGCAAGGTCTTTCTCGGAAGCAGTATCAAGAGCTGTACTCTATTAACGTGGCCAATCACAGTCGCGAGGTCAGACAGGTCAGCGAGTCAAGGCATTATGGAACCAGAACCACGCGGAAACGACAATATGGCGACATTACTGACCACTGTTCAGCAATTGCAACAACAGGTAGCCCGTCTAACTGACAAAGTGGATAATAGGAATTCCAACCAGTCGCAAGCCATACAACAACCACAGCAAGAAAGTGACCACAGGTTATATCAAGACCATGTTGCACGGAATACCCGGGCCCAGTCAGGAACCACTTTATTCTCTGCAAGATTTGCTCCTGATGACCCCATGTCTACAAGAGGAAGCTTGCCAACACAAGTGAACAACCACAACCTGCTTGGCATGCGGAGGTCGAGATAGTGTCGCCAGCTGAGGAAACAGATCTGGGAGGGTAAGGATGTAAATCTAGCTCTCCTTATGATCCCAGATGAGATGTCCACTACAGCCCGCTCATTTGCCTTTAATGACACACCAATGCTACTTAAACCCCAGGTTGATGCCAGGATGACTATGCCTCTTACCATCAGCATGTTCGTCACTGCATTTGGCAGATATAAAAACATCATGTGTATCAGGTGGCCACAGAGGGACAAGGAGCTGGACAGGTATGAACGTAATATCCTGGAGATGCATGCCCAGTACGAAAATCAACTTTTTTACCAATATCACCGGAAGTTCTCCGCAAAAGCTGCTGCCCTGCTCGAACAACAAAACTGGAAAGTGGACTGGAGTAAGATAGATGATGACCTGTACAGAGTGATTTTCACAGGTCAGCGAGTCAAGGCATGTCAGCTCTGTCAAGATATTGGCCACATGACAGAATTCTGTTCTATGGTGATCACCAATCCTCCCAACCAAGCGAACAGATGGGCCACCAGCACAGGCCAACAGAAATACCCTGATCTACAAGAGAAGACATCTGCAATGGAGCGGCGTTCTGCAGACCGATATGGACGACCCATCATCATATATCAAGGAGTACCAATATGCAATAACTACAACACAGATCGATGTGTACATGTCAGTTGCAAATTTAGACACATCTGCCTCCGCGTCATAAATCACATGCCCAGTTCAAGTGTTACCAGAACAGAGAGTCGGACAAGAAGGCAAGTTCCCCAGAACATAGACAAAGAGACAGGAGAGGAAACCGCGACAAGTGACTACAGGTGCACCCCATCCCCATCAATGTCAAGTGTTAGCGGATAAACTTATTGACTGTGGTCGAGTTCAGTTCGTCAATAATCTTGTTCATGGCTTGACTTATGGCTTTATGACTGGAATTGTGGCCCCACCTATTCACACCAAGATTTGTCGAAACCTATTATCGGCTAGTTGTAATCCTGAAGATACCTCTACTCTCCTGCAGAAAGAACTAGGAAAAGGTTTTTGATTGGACCATTTCTACAGCCACCATTTCTCTCCCATAGGATCAATCCAATGCGGCATTGTGGAAGGCAAATATTCTGGCAAGAAAAGACTGATCGTCGACCTTTCATCACCCCACAATGATGGGTTGCATCCCAGCCTTAACTCATTAATCAGCAAGGAAGAGCATTCCCTTACGTTATGTGAAAGTGGATGATGCCATCAACATCATCAAGGAGATTGGGCCAACAGCCTACATGTACAAATTTGACATTGCTGGCGCCTTCAAATTAATTCCTATTCATCCATCAATGTGGCACCTTCATGGAATTCAGTGGAAAGGACATTATTATTATTATACAAGACTAGTCTTTGGTTCCAGATCCAGCCCCAAAATATTTGACCAATTGTGGAGGCAATATGCTGGATCACGGAACATGTGTGTGATGTAACTCATATTCTGCATCTGTTAGATGACTTCTTAACTATGGACAATTCAATTAGTAATGGTAAATCCACAATGCAAAAAATGATTGGCCTATTTTCAGAATTAAATATTCCTCTGTCCATGCACAAGACAGCGGGACCAACACAATGCCTAGAATACCTAGGCATTACTCTGGACTCTAAGAATATGGAAGCCCGTCTCCCACAAGTCAAAGTGAAGAGAATAATAGAGATGATGGACTCTGTCGTCAGTAAGAAGAAGGTCACCAAAAGGAAGCTACTTAGCGTGCTCGGCCACTTGAACTTCGCCATGCAAATTATACGCCCAGGGCGTTCCTTTATCAGCTATCTGCTGAAGTTAGCTCATTCAGTGCCAGAGCTGTATCACCATGTGGGTCTGAACAGAGAATGTCGTGTATCGACTTAAACATGTGGAGAACTTTTCTCAGCCAGTGGAGCGGAAAATCGTTCTTCCTTAATGAAAGAATAGCTGCTCCTGATTTTGAACTGTTTACCGATGCAGCCTTCCCGGTCGGGTTCGGCCTACTTCCAAGGACAGTGGTGTGCTAACAAGTGGCCAACTCAATTGTTTGACATTGCAGGAGATGACATGTCTATAGCATTATTAGAACTGTACCCCATCATAATGGCATCATCTTTATGGGGTCACCTGTGGACTTCAAGGAGCATTTGTTTTGTGTGTGACAATTTGGCCACTGTTACAATTTTGAACAAGGGCAGATCAAAAGTCCCAGTGATTATGCTGTTTGTAAGGAAGTTAGTGTTGAATGCAGCTACTTATAACTTTGTCTTCAATGCAGTACACCTACCAGGTCGTGACAATCTTATAGCTGATGCACTATCTCGATTACAGATAGAGAAGTTCCAGCAGCTAGCCCCCGAAGCGCAACCATGCCCGACACCTTGCCTGCCTATGGACAAATTGACTATGCCGCCGACCCAGGGCTAGATCACCTCTGGGAGCAAGCCCTCTCTCCGCACACAAGAACCGTTTATAACTCAGGCCTGAGAGCGTTTCTGATGTTTATGAGTATGTCAGGTGTTACGTGGTATCCTCAAGCATTACCCTGTATCAATGAACAAGTGTTGCTAAACTTTGTGTCACATTGCCATTACAAGCTGAAAGTGACTCACTCTACGACAAGAGAGTACCTAAGTGGCGTCAGATTTGCATATCTTAAGTCATGGAGTTAACAATCCATGGTGCAACAACACCTTGTTGCGTTTACAGACAATAATGAGATCATTGAAGAAACTGGCAGGTGTCAGAGCAGCACCACGTCTCCCAGTGACAATCGTGATTCTGAAACACATAGTGAGGACGTTGAATGGCGGTCTGTTCTCAGCATATTTAGACATCATGCTGGCAGCTGCTTTCTGTACAGCCTTTTTCGGTTTTCTACGATGTGGAGAGTTGACCTACCACCATTTCAACCCAAGCCAAAACCTGTCGATGGAAGATGTTGTGTTTGCCAGTGAGAATTCTAAATTCCACCTAAAACTAAAGGCTTCAAAACTGACATATTCGGAGGGTGTGACCCTTACAGTCCATGCAGTTCCACCGCGTGTGTTGCCCAGTGCGTGCCATGAGTCGGCATGTTAAACAAAGGAGGAAAGCGGGTGCCACAGCAAAGATCCGCTCTTCGTCATGAGCGATGGTACTGCTTTTACCAGAACAGTATTTGTTAGCAGCCTTAAATCAGTACTTACCGCAGCAGGCTGGAATGACCGACAGTTCAATGGTCATTCCTTCCGCATTGGGGCGGCCACCTCCGCAGCAGCAGCAAATGTCCCAGATCACCTCATCAAAACGTTGGGGCGGTGGTCCTCAGACTCTTACCTAAGATACATCCGTACTTCCGACAGTGCCATTGGAAAAGCGCATTATGCTATGTGTGGTTTACCTAGTGTCTAGTCAGTTGTTGGTCTTCCCATTTTTATGCATCTTGTACTTTGCCATCACGGGAGGCACAGGTGGTTCCTTTCTGTTTATAGTGTACATCATGTTGGGGGTATTCTCAGTTATAACAAGGTTATTCCCGATCATTGTGGCAGTCAAATATCATAAAGATCAAGGGGATATTTTTCACCCCCCATCATTCAGGGTGTCGACCAGCTAAATGGCAGCTATAATGAACTGACAGCACCCCATGCTGGGGTTAGTAAGACTGATGCTCAGTCAAAGTATGTTTCAAACTCAGGTATGGATAGTAGTATGTGCAATATAACATCAGGCTGGAATTATCGAGGACTGATGCTCAGTCTAAGCTTCGGATCTAGGTTGATGCTCAACCATGCTAAAAATTAGGAGTTCGCACCCAATGCTTGGGTAAGGTGTTCCAGCACCCCATGCTGGGGTTAGTATCAAGCTCGCACCCAATGCTGGGGTAACGTGTACCAATTATAGGTTGATGCTCAACCACAGCAGTTCAGGTTTATACCAACAAGTATTAGCAGGTATTCAGAAGTATAAGCATGAGAATCCCCTAACGCCAAATTTTGTGTATACGTTGTGTCTATGGTTTAAAGATTGTATGTTAATAAACTTGTCATTGTTATGCTCACCTTGTCGTTAAGTTATTATAAATGTTGGTTAATGTAATTAACTAGGTTTATAACAACGGGAAGACCAACAAATATCCAACTTCTTATTACGTACTGTTTTCCTTGATATGCTTTGTTACCATTCACATGGTTTATAAATGTGTGTTGTTTGTACATACAGCCCATCACGTGTACATCTAGTATAGAATATTAATTATTTGTATTACGCGCCATTCATGGTTAGTTATCTTGTTTATCCCTGAAGGGAGACTAGACACGTTTTAATGTACACCATATACTGGGGTGAACAAATATTGACATACCACTATTATTTTATCACCATTGTCGCTACGCCAAATATTCCTTGTTTACATAGCAGGCGGGTCAGTCCCACTTCATCTCCTTTTAAGGAGCCAGTCTATTTTTATTTAATGCACAGGTTATTTCCGCTCATGCGCAGTTGTCTGAAATTCTACTTCCAGTCATGCGCAGTTACTAGCGATAGTTCGCCATGCTGGTATTGTTTATGCTGTGAGTGGAAAGTTCCCACCTCCTCCCTCAACACCACCTCATATATGTATATTCATATGTATTTGATGCATGTCTTCTATATTAGGGGGGCTTATCCCTCATTAGTCCTCCAGGGATTCTCATGTAGTATGCTCTACTGCTTTAGTCAAATATCAGTCAAATATCATAAAGAGCAGTCAAATATCATAAAGATCAAGGGATATTTTTTCACCCCATCATTCAGGGTGTCGACCAGCTAAATGGCAGCTATAATGAACTGACAGCACCCCATGCTGGGGTTAGTAAGACTGATGCTCAGTCAAAGTATGTTTCAAACTCAGGTATGGATAGTAGTATGTGCAATATAACATCAGGCTGGAATTATCGAGGACTGATGCTCAGTCTAAGCTTCGGATCTAGGTTGATGCTCAACCATGCTAAAAATTAGGAGTTCGCACCCAATGCTTGGGTAAGGTGTTCCAGCACCCCATGCTGGGGTTAGTATCAAGCTCGCACCCAATGCTGGGGTAACGTGTACCAATTATAGGTTGATGCTCAACCACAGCAGTTCAGGTTTATACCAACAAGTATTAGCAGGTATTCAGAGTATAAGCATGAGAATCCCCTAACGCCAAATTTTGTGTATACGTTGTGTCTATGGTTTAAAGATTGTATGTTAATAAACTTGTCATTGTTATGCTCACCTTGTCGTTAAGTTATTATAAAACAGTCGACTTATTAGACCACGCCTTCTTATTAGACCTCCAAAGTACAGTGTCGAGGTTGGAAATGTTTTTGAAACGAGGTTTCTGCGCTTTGCTGATCACAAGTGTTTTTTTAATCTTTTCACCAGTCATGCTACAGCATCCATCAATCAAAGTCGGGAGGCAGGACTTAAACTTGTCAACATCACTCTGATCCACACGGGCACCTTCGAGTGACTGACAAATTGTGACAATCAATTTATAATGCAAGTGACCAATTTACTTCACCTACTTAGGCCTAATCCTAATCCTTATCCATACTCCTTTTTTCAGGCAACAACAATGAGCTTAATATGCCAGTTTTTTTCTGTAAACATAAATGGAAATGATCTTACCTTAGTATCTTTTCGGAGCAATGATATAATATGAAATTAGTCCACTGAACTTTCAAAGATTATTCCTGTTTGCTGAATTTCATGTATTCCCTAAAAATTCCAGGGATTTCATGAAATTACTGAAATATTAGCTCAGGGATTTCATGAAATCCCTGTAAGCCCTTATTGAAATATATAATACCAAATTTATAATGCGAGTACAGAGTATATCGTGATAAAATTCATTTGTTGGGACAAGATAGACTGTTATCATAAAAGCTATTACACTTCAGTAGCACTTTAAAACATTTACAACGTATTGATTTACACTGGTTAAGACAACAGTTACATTTCTGGAAACCCTGACCACCACAATTCAACTTGAAAATCACAGCTGTGTGGAGAAACAGTTCTTTGTCCATTGTCACATCATTCGTAGAAAGAAGACGCTGAGGACAAACATGAAATATGTGCTTGAAAAATACCCTTTCCTTCCCAAACCCATATCCCAAAGCTCTTCTTCAACAGCGGGATAATGTATATTACAAGTTATTTCTATGAATGACCTAGTCCATTTAAACTTAAACGTCCATTTTCTATAAAGAAAATAAAATGTTTGAAAAACCTCGCTAAATTTTTAAATCCTATATCACAGTAAAATGCTGAGCCATTCCGTATGGAATTATGAGAGAGATTTGGGCCACAATATACAGAGTATAATATATGAATATTAAATATGCAATAATAAGGGTACAAGTTACATTAAGCAGATATATACAAATTTGCAGTACGTTTTTTAAGAATATTAAGGCAAGTTATGGTAGATAAAAGCAATACACCTGGACAAGCTAGAAAAAAAACTCTTTCAACATACCCAGATATTAAAAAAAACATCTAAAAGACTTGTACATTTAGAAAACAGTTGCAATCGCTGATCAGCATACAAAAGACAATGCAATAAAACATGACACTCATCTTCAATAAAATCTTTACAGTTTCGATTCTAAATGGCAATACCACACATCTAAACAAAGCTAGTGCTTTTCTCATAGAGTGAGACATTACAATTAACATAAAAATCACTACAAAAATCCAACTTTAAAGTACAGTACGTGTGTAACTTATTACCTCCCCTACCAGTTAAACTACTAACTTGTAAAAGGTCCTGTTTCCCTTTATAAACGAAATCGCTAAAATTAACCTCTGTAACTTTTGAAACTACAAAAGGAATATTGATACACAACGTTGATATTGTTATATCAACACCCAACGACAAATTATTAATCATAGCAATAAGATGCACTAGTGTGATGCCGCAATAAGACATTGGGTCTCTCGGGTTGTCAGCTCCAGACTTAGGGGTAGGGGTAATGATCCCCTGGGCCCAGTTGGAGGGTATATGACCAATCTCATAACATGTAGAAAACAGTTTATGAAGATAATCTATACAGATGTCATTTGTCAAAACATCAACTGGAATATTATTCAAACCCCGTTTATTTCCCTCTCTTAGCTTGACTTAGTGTCATCGGTAAATTGTCAAAGTTTTCTACGCGTAAGAACTACGGGATTAAATGAGTCTCAACAGTAAAGTTTTAAGCTACAAACATTAATTTCACACATTCACTGATATCTTAAAGGACACATGCAACGTAAAACACAACTTTGCAGATTCTGATACCTTTCAGTATGGACTTACCGAAACAAATCACCAAAAATGCAAATTCAACTTAAAAAGTTGAAAAATAACGTGATGAAAAAACCCGCACGAAATCGGAGTTCAAACGATTCACTAATTTTCCCCCAGCGCTTGGGGGAAAAGTGGTTTCAACAACTATGCTGCGCCGCTCCTAACGGTTCGCGGAGCTTGAAACAGGATGCATGCCCGGATTATAAGGTCGTGAGCAGGAGTAGTCTAATCCTGGTTGTGTACACAAATAAATAGTAAATAATCTACTTGTTACATAAAAGAACCTTGTAAGGATCTAGATCTACTCAGCTATGTGTCAACCAGTGAGGCATTCGACATTTCAAGACGAAAAACCTTTCCTGGCGGTGAGTACTCTGAGTTGGGAGGCTTTGATGTGAGCTATTTTTCTAATATTTTGTTGATATTTCACAGGCGCGAGCTTTTTATATGTTATGACAGTAGATTACCGATTTAACTGTTTATATAATTTCATGTGTCAATTTCACCCTACGTTCTTCTTACCGAGTCACTTTCTCAGTTCGATACTTAAAAAGCAATGTCATTATTCAGCGTTGACAGAATTTCAAACTGTGACCTATCAGGCTATACACCGTAAACAAAACACATTGATTTATGGCCTGAGTTCGGTCTCTGTCACATTATGTAATTACAAAGACAGGCAGGTGTGATACTTGTATACATGACATGTTATGATGTCTGTTGATTGCAAAATGTTATACACAAGAAATGAGCATGTATTTACAAAACCCAACATCTCTCTATACACACACACAATGAGTCGTGAGGGCATTGGCAAATGAACTAGCCATTACACTTGAGTGCACACCCAACTGCTCTGACTGGGTTCGGTCTCCCGGGTGCTTCGTATTGCACTTTTGATTTGCGATTGTACGCTTATAATTTTGTTTATATGTTTTTTCATAATCAACAATGTATATTATATGTCATGAATAAGTGATAATTGTGTTTTAATTATGTTTGATTTTTTGGTTGCATGTGACCTTTAACAGGGAGTGTGTGTAGTGAAACACCATGAAAATCAGTAATTTCATGAAATCCCTTGAAATTTAGGAAATACATGAAATCTCTGGGGGTCACAGTGATTTCACAAAATCACTGAATCTTTTAGGGATTACATGAAATCCCTGGTTTCACACATTCCCCTGTAACATAAATATATATATGGGGCAAAAAAAATTAATCCAAATTGGAATCTCAATGAATTAGCTCCAAACAGGATCAAAATAACATCATTTACTGCGGTGGGCAGACAATAAGCCCACTGGGATAAAAAGCCCTCGGACAAAAAGCCCCTAGGCTAAATGCCCCCAGGACGAAAACCCCTTCAAATTTCCACCCATAGGATAAAACACCCTCTGTGTTTGTTTTGAAATGACAGGCGACATGATGTTTTCTGAGTAATTGTTATTTTAACAATGGAATTAAATCTGCTAAGTGTTGTTTCAGAGAATGGCTTAAATTGGTCACTTCCTCTTATGTTTGATTTTGTTGGGCAGGTACTCATTGTGGCATGTCAATGAACATGGTGTTTATTAAGATGGTCAGCGCTATTGTTATTTACTTAAATTCCTGATTTCCTGCTTCCTTCTTCAAA